AAGGCCACTCCCCACCCCAGCGCCTGCCCCGTGCCCCCGCAGGATCCGGCCTCGCCTGCGGACGGAGCCAGCGCCGCCGTCACCATGGGCAACATCTTCGGGAACCTGCTGAAGAGCCTGATCGGGAAGAAGGAGATGCGGATCCTGATGGTGGGGCTGGACGCCGCCGGGAAGACCACCATCCTCTACAAGCTGAAGCTGGGGGAGATCGTCACCACCATCCCCACCATAGGTGTGCAGGGTGGGGGGCGCAGGCACCGGGCGAGGACCCCTCCCCGTCAGGGCTCCTTGGGAGGGGGCTCGCGGCCCCGCGTGCCTCAGTTTCCTTCCGCTGTCACTCCCCACAGGGTTCAACGTGGAGACGGTGGAGTACAAGAACATCAGCTTCACCGTGTGGGATGTGGGTGGGCAGGACAAGATCCGGCCCCTCTGGCGGCATTACTTCCAAAACACCCAGGGTAGGTCCCCACCAGGGACGCAGGGAGGGGACGGGGCTCGCCGGGGAGTGGGGCGGCCACGAGGCCGGCCGGATCCTGCGGTCCCAGCAGCTCCCGCTCGCTGCCCCCAGGGCTGATCTTCGTGGTGGACAGCAACGACCGGGAGCGGGTGAACGAGGCGCGGGAGGAGCTCATGCGGATGCTGGCGGAGGACGAGCTGCGGGACGCCGTCCTCCTCGTCTTTGCCAATAAGCAGGTGGGTCTGGGGGGGCGTCCCCGTGGTGGGGCCGAGACCATCCCTGGGGCGTCGGGGCTGGTGTCTGGGTACCTCTGGCCAGGAGCATGCCCATCCCTGGGGCGTCAGGGCTGATATCTAGCAACCCCCGTGGCAGGAGCATGCCCATGCCTGTGGCATCGAGGCTGGTGTCTTAAGAGACCTCGTGGCAGGACCACGTCAATCCCTGTGGCGTCAGGGCTGCCATTAAGCAGCCCCTGTGGTGGGGCTGTGCCCATCCCGATGGCATCAGGGCTGGCGTTTAACACTCCGGCTGGACCATGCCCATCCCCAAGGCATCAGGGCTGGTGTCTCACGTCCCCATGGCAGGCCCCTGCTCCTCCCCGCGGCATCAGGGCTGGTGCCAGCCCCTGTGGCGGGATAGCGCCCATCCCCGTGGCATCGGGGCTGCCGTCAGCCCCCGCGGCGGCATGGCGCCCATCCCTGCGACATCGGGGCTGGCGCGTGACCCCATCTCTGCCCTAGGACCTGCCCAACGCCATGAACGCGGCGGAGATCACGGACAAGCTGGGGCTGCACTCCCTGCGCCACCGTAACTGGTACATCCAGGCCACCTGTGCCACCAGCGGGGACGGGCTCTACGAGGGCCTCGACTGGCTCGCCAACCAGCTCAAGAACAAGAAGTGAGCGGGCAAGCCGCCG